AGCTTAGGATTAGCTTAGTTGGCTTAGCTTAGGATCAGAAGTCTGAGCCCCAGCCCAAGCTCAAGCCTAAGCTCAGGCTCAAATCCAAGCCAGCTTTGCGTTTTTGAAGGTATCGCTACCTGCGTCAATACCTAAAATGGCACTTTTTGGCGCATTCCATCATCAGCGACGCGCATCATACTATTGACAGCGAGGAGAAGCTCACAAAAAAGTAGGAGATAGCACGAAATGCATTGCAGATGTAGACAGTCGGTTTCTCTCTATCGCACTCTCTCTCACTCTCTCGCTCTCACTCTCTCGCTCTCTCTCTCTCTCTCGCTTTGACGCACTTTAAATAATTATCCGGAATGCGCTCTGATATTTCTCAACTTTAAGGTCTGAAGGTCATCTATTATGAAAGAGAGAGGGAGAGAGAGAGAGAGAGAGCGAAATAGTGAGTGATACAGACAATCAAATCAAAAGCCTCCTCACCGCCTCTGGACAACGGACAGAGTGTCTCAAGGACTTCCCCGTACTCTCGCTTCCCTTTCCAAATCACCAATTAAATGCCCTGGGGCTACGCGAGAAGACCGTTGACGTGATTTTGGAATGGTAAGGGAGAAGGGCATCGTGGGAATCGGGGATCCTGGGTTGATAGAGGAAACGAGGCGGGAAAAGGTCAACCGAAACGTCTGGTAGTGAATCGTGGCGGATCGAGAGTGCAATGACGGGGCTGTTTTTTTGGGGTGGCAAGCTCAGTTTAAAGGGGCGGGCAAGCCACTGAAATAGGGGTGCTTTTTGTCGAGACCTAGTAACCGGAAAGGGACGATTGCAAAAACCCCTAGCTTCCTTTAAAGGGACTGACCAGCCAAAGTGATGGACTCCTGGCCCTCGTCGATACCTAGCAAACCGGAAAGGGGTAGATTTTCGCGTTTTCACTCCCCTTTAAAGGAACTGTCAAGCTTTATCCGTCAAACTCCTCTCGATTCAAAGGCTAAGCTTAAGCCTAAGCCTGGGCCTAAGACCAGCCAACCTTAGCTCAAGCCAGACTTAGGCGAAACATAAGCCTATCCAAGCCAGGCCTAAGTCAATCCCAAGCTAATTGTAAGACACGCGGCTTTTACCCCTGCCGAGCTTAGCAAAACGCACTGATGAGCCTAAGTCAACCCTAGACTTAAGCCAATTAGAAGCTTACCAAACCAAGGTGACGTCAGAGCTTAAGTCAAAATCAAGCCAAGCCTAGCTTAGTCTATGAATCCACGAAATGAAGTCGAAGCACAAAAACTCTCGATAATACTCAAAGTTCATAAAAACAGGTCTAGCTAACCGTGAAAAAAACGAAAGTGAGTGCCGGCGAGAGTTTGATTCAATGATGCCACCCCTGATGCCGAGAAAAGCGGATGAGTCAGTCAAGGCAAAGAGAGGGTGAGCCTTTCAGAAGTATTCAGGCTGACTGGAGAGGGCGGATGGCTAAGAAACCGGTTGAAATACGGACACCGGCAAGGAGGAGGAGGAGGAGACCTTTGGAGGGGACAACAAGCCCAAAGAGTCACGGTCAAATCGGACATTATGCCGATGGGAGAACCGGAAGGAACGGCTGGATATATCAGACTAAAGGGGCTTGACGATGCCGGAACTGACCCCTCCTGGGGACCTGGTTTCGAACTAGCTTTCGACATTTGTCGTGGTCGCGGGCTTCGTAATTTTAGGCTCTCGCTTAGGATTAGACTCCGGTGTAGGCTTCGGCATAGGTAGGCGTAGGCTTAGACCTAGGCTTCAGCATCAGCTTAGGTTGCACCTAGGCTAGGCTTAGGCTTAGCTTAAGCTTAGATTAGGTTTAGCTGAAGCGGAGCTGAATCTTCACTTAGGATTACCCTAGACTTCGCTTCGCATTAGCTTAGGCATTGCTTAGGTTGGGCTTAGACTTAGGTTTGGGGTTAGATAATACTTAGGATTATGCTTGGGCTTAGGCTTAGATTAGGTTTAGGTTTAAGCTTACACTTAGGAACAGGCTTATCTTAGGCTTACACTTAGGCTAGGCTTAGGCTTAGTTTAAGCTTAGACTAGGCTTAGCTGCGGCGGAGCAGAGGCTTAGCTCAGACTTAGCTTAGGCTCAGGCTTAAGCTTATACTTGGGCTTAGGCCTGACCAGGCTTACATCGCATCGGTATGGCACTGAGGATACGGTAAAATTTTACGGCATATCCCAAAAGTTGCCACTACCGCGGGGATTCCAAAAAACTCGGTGCAACCCCTGGGGAAGCCCACTTCGAAGCCATTCCCCCATATGGCATGAGATGGATCGTCACATTGGAATTGTGAGCGGGCGGTGAAAGTGCCGATACAAATGTGAGAAGCCCTGCTGTCGCGCACAACTTGCTGCCCATTCTTTTTTTCCTTGTGTTGCAAGGCGAAAGTTCAGAAAAGGGAAATGGATGCGGTTGGGTATCAACGAGGCGAAACCGCGCAAGTTTCACCCCCTTCCCCTTCGGCTTTTGCATGCCGAAAGTGGTAGCTGGGGAATACAGGAAATTTGAATGAAAGGGCGAAGGAGCCGCATCCAGGTAATTTTTGAAGGGAATATCGATAGAATACCGAGGCTACAAAATACCGACAACAACGGACGACCGGTACCGACGGTCAAACTAGGATGGTAAGAATACCGACAATCGAATGGTCGACAGCAGGAATGCCGACAATCGAGATTCGGCTAAACGACACAGCCAAAATCCTGGCGGTTAAAATTCAGAGCGCCACAACGCCGGCAGTTGAAGTCTCAACGGGCCAAAATAACGACAACCAAAATACGACCAACTAAAATGCCGACAACCCCAAAATGCCGATATTTCAAAGAAATACAGCCAAATATCTAAAGCCGTATTGACCCCAACCGAAATATCGACAGTCAGCAAAACGACGGTCAAAATGCCGATAATATCGACATATCGACGAAAAATACGAAAATAGCGAAATTCCGACATGCATCATAGCATCGCTGACAAACCGACAAATCTTTTGAGGGCCGAAATCTGTGCTGTCGGCATTCTGGCTTTTCTGTATTTTCGGCATTTTTTCCTTGGGAACCCAGTTTTGAAATACAAATATCGTCAAATTCGAACGATAACGAATAAATTTTAAAACCTAAAAAACGTACAAAATTTTATTAAAAATACAAAACTACAAAAAATCTATACTTTGACGACTTGACGTTTATAATGGCCGGTTTTGACCAAAATTTCATTTTTTTGAAAAGTTTTGCGTATTTTAGGTAGTTTCTCTACTTAAAATAGGCGTTTTTCTTTACCAAAAACTTGATTAAATCTTTCCTATTATGTTAAGAGACATTTCTAGATTTATAAAACAAAATCCCCCCGATAATGCGAAAGAAACCCGGGTCCCCCCGCTAACGAACCAGAACCTGAGAATAAGATAAAGGCGAGGTACCGTACATCAGGGTATATGGAACAAATCCTGAATTTAAAGGAACCAAGTTTGGGCATCAATTCTATATTTAACCCCCTGTGGCATAGACCGGCTATTGGCAGATTGCCCCCAATTTCTAGCTAGACCTCGTCACCTGGGGGCTGTTGAGGTGGATTCGTGGGTTAAAGCGGTCGTCAAGTGGATGGTCTAGTAGTTGAGAGTGAGGGAGGGGGAAGGGCTACGAGACGATCCTCTAGCCGAACATCTACAGCCCCTCCTTGACGACAATCGCAGAATGAATGGGAATGCCGACGGACGGAACGAGATGAGGAACGACAAGGATGGTCAACAAACAGAGCGCTATACAGAGATAGCTACGGCTACGAATGACAATCTGTACGCGGCGCCATTGTCAGCTGTATTTTTGGGCGATACGGTATGAATATAGCGCGGTTCCGCATTGAAAAATCGAGAAATAAGCCCTGGACCATTATCGGGGGGGTATTGGGGGATTTTTGGTTTTCTCGTCGGCCTGTTGACAATTGTTGTAGTTTTTAGTAGTTTTTGTTTGAGCTTTCACCCCCGATAACAGTTGTGTACCGAAAGTCTATAATTAAAAACGGTTTTTTATTTCGACAGCCAAAATATTATATTAAGCTCTAGATTGAATATTTATATTATTTATTGAGATTTTATTATATAATAGGATAATTCATATTTGCTAAGTATTTTAGTTATTTTTTGCAGCAGACGAGAGTCTAGATTGGGTCCAAAAAATTTCGGCTTGGCAGTTCAATGCCACAAAGACGCTCGAAACCCGGAACTCCCCTTCCCACCAGTCGAAGCACGAAAAAGGCAAACTTCAAGTTGGCAGACGAACAGACTCAGAAATAGACAGAAAAACAGCCAGACAGTCAGACAGAAATTGTTCTTCTTTGGTCGCGAAATCCCCTATGAGGTCAAATCGGGCGCCCCGGAAAGCGACGCCAGTCGGCGCTGCTCAGCCGAAAATTAGCCGCCCAAAAAGTCGCACGAAAATACACCAAAACATCCAGGAAAATATGCAAAAAATAGGAATATTGAGATGTACTGTATTTTTAGATTAGCTACGGAATTCCAGCTATAATCCCGACAGCCAAAATGTGATATTTCCGGTGGTTGTACCCATCAAAGGTTTTGGGCTCCAGGGTTTCTGGCTGTCGGGATTTTGACTGTCGGGATTCTAACTCACCGGATTTATCTGTCGGGATTTGTCTGTCGGGATTTTGAATGTCGTGATTTTGAATGTCGGGATTGTGGCTTGTGGGGTTTTTGGCTGCCGGGATTGGTCAGTCGGATTTTGCCCTTTCGGGATTTTGGCTGTCGGGATAATTGTTGTCGGGATTACAGCTGTCGGTGTTTTGAATGTCGGAATTTTGCGTTTTCCCGTATCTCCCAAATCTGTTGAAAATTCTAAAAACAAGTTTATCTCTAATTTTTTATTTCCTGCCTACGCGCTGCGATATGTAAAGATTTCATCCTTTCGTTCAATTCAATTACATTCAGGTTTTTATTCAAATACAGCGGCCGATTTATTCAAATTCCGGCTTAAATGGGTTAATACGCGGGGGCGGCAGTGGTTGGGGTGGCGACGCATTTCCACGGCTCGTCTTTGTTCGAGTAGAAGCACCGAGCGTCAACCACTGCCTGGGCTGCCTATATAGATTTTTAATGTGATAATTTTTAGACTTTGAAACCAGCAAATTATATATAATTTTAAGGCGCCTCACATCAGCAACCAGCTTGTCCGAATCGTTACCGGTCGTCCCAAAAGTGGAGGTTAGTATATTGACTGCATCCACGAAATCCTTGGCCCCTGGCTGCACCTCCTCGTAGGTTGTCGTGAAATTCTAAAGTTTACGAAGTCAGATCAAACCTCGATAGGTTAAATCTCTAAATATCAGTTCTGAATCCTAATTTTAACGCAAACATTTGGTTTTTTAAACTTTCCCTTTAATTTCAGTGCCAATCCTGTTAGCTGCCAACTTGATAGTTTTTCTCCGGTTTTTAAAGGGACGGAAAAGGCCACACTTTGAATATGGGTCTAGGGATTCCTGGGAAATTCACCGCGGCACGCAACGCGAGAGCCGGTTTTTCCGGGGCGTAATGGAGTACTACCGTTTTTAGCAATCATACCACGCGTGCGCGTTGCGGCTCCCGCGACAGCCGCTGTTTTGCGCATTTTTGGGCCGTAGTTAGCAAACTAAAACTTTGCAAAACTTTTTCTAGAAGTTCGGGATCGTTCAGAATTTTTTGAAAAGATGGGTTTTGCTCAGAATTTAAAGCTCTATCGAACCGGTTATGTCACTTTTCGATTATCATCAAAAAGACTCGGGACGACCCCCCCCCCTTTAAGTCAGTCCAGCCGGGATGCGTTTGCTTCTGAGCGTTTCCCTAACCCCTTTAAAACTAGCTTACTGCAGCGAAAACGTCGAGAGCATCTCCAATCTGGACCTCCTTATTGGCAATGTCCTGTGAGTGCTTCACCGGTGGCCGCAAAACGAGTCGTAAAATCGTTCTGATCCACGTAGCTGGCCAACGCCTGAAAAATAACGAGTGTGCATTGCGTGTTCTATCGTACCCCAAGAACCCAAAAATTCCAAAAAATATCCCTACCTCAGCGATGTCAATCGAGATCGCACGACACCTTGTCGCACCCGTAGCCCAGCTTCAAATCGCTGGTGGCCAAGGCTGCAGGAGGGCAAGGAGGAGGAGGGTAGCATCTGTAGTGGTTTTAAAGATACGGGTCAGACTTCACGATGGATGGCTACGGAATCCCAATGTTTTTGATAAAAGATTAACACGAAAAGAGGGTGGACATTTCAATTATCTAATGAAGTCCGGCGTCTTCCAGGAGGACAAGCGAAGCACCGCGTTGCGTATCGCCAAGAGTTCTACAGAATTCGGGGCTTTGACATTAGCGGGAGGAGGGTCTTTGACTTCCAAAAAAAACAACGAAAAAGTCTTTCAAAGTGTTTTTACACATTTTTTCGAAAAACATCGTTTTTTGGACAAAAGTTACTTCGAAATTTTAGATAGTTTTTCGATTTAAAGCATAGTGAAAATTTACAGAAACAATATTAATACGCTTACTATTGCGCTACTAGGCAGTTCTACCCCCCGATAATGCAAAATCTCCTCGACAACTAGGGACGTCGGGGCTTTGGGGCTTCGACCCCTTTCAAAGTCAATTCGAACCACATTACAAAGAATACACCAAAATCAAAAGGAATTTTGAGTAGCGCCACACCCCAAAATTAAAGCCCTGCCGGCTTATCACGGCTTATCATGTCCGGTAGCCAAGCGAGGCCAGAATTTACGAGCGGCACCTCTGAACAAACCTGTGGGAATTGCGACGGCTTTCACGCGTCATTTATCAGCTGAAAGGGGGGGCAATAAACTTCTTATTTACCTTAAATAAAGTGCACATAATTTATCGGCACATTTTTGATACTTGAACGGTTCAAGCTGGCTTAGCAGGCTTAAGAGTGAAGCTAGTGACTTATAGCTTGCCGATTAAGCCCGCTGAGCACCGAAGCTTACTTGGAAAGTGATGGTAGGGCCGGCGAAGCCTGCGAAGTAGACTAAAGTAATGATAAGCCTCTGAAGCTTGGACCAGGGGCTTGTGAATGAGCCATTTGCTCAAGCCTTCGAGCAGATTTAAGGATCAAGCTAGCTTGGCTTGGCTGAGGATTCAAATTGATTGTAACATGGAAATGTCGTTACGGTTCAACCTCTGAATAATTTATTATTCTTCCAACCTCCGCCGGAAACATAAACCAAAATCACAAATGAAGAGTCACAAACAAACACTGGCCGACGAGTGTGTAAATTGGAATGGAATGTATTATATTATAGAAAGTGTGGGTCGAGTACCGTATCCCGGAAAATGTATATCAAGTGAGCAGCTGGGCATGCAGAGAGCGAAAGGGGGGGGGGACAAGGTTTAGAATTTGGACGACTAGAGAGGACAGAAAATGCCGGATAGCACCAGTTTTGAAGGTATAGAAAAGAGGGGGAAATCGGGGATACTGTACAACCTCAAAGGCCATAATTGGTAGAGATTATTTGGGAGGGCTAAATTATTTGCGAGAGCAGAGCTCCCTCAAGTCGTCAACCAGGCTGGAGATGAGCTGCTGGTCGGCGGCTTTCCCGTCGATTGGAGGCCGTCAGTCTGGAATTGAATGGGGTGCAAGGAGGGGTGACTTTAGAGACTTTTAAAGGGATAGGCAAGGTATATCTGGCCTTTTTGGATTTAAACGCAGCGCGACACGCAACGCGACAGTCCGCTTTTTCGTTGCGCAATGGATTGAGCCCCGCCTAAAGGAACCGGGAAGGCACTATTCTAACGCCGCGCGACACGCAACGCGTCTGTCCGGATTTTCGTTGCGTAATACGTTAATCTCTTCCTGTTTCCATTGCGTAATCAATTAAACCAGTTTTCAGGGAGCTGGAAAAGCTATTTTTTCTACAAATGGAGCGGTCATTTTTCTGCCCTCCCATTGCGTAATGTAATACGACTTACCGTTTTCTTGACGAGTATCGCGATCGGCTCGCCAGTCTGTGTAGTGGCATAAAGGGAGGCGGCAGAAGCCACTTCTTCCACAACTGAAACCACCGTTTTTTCTTCGGCCCAGAAATTCACATTTTCCACAAAGACTCTCTGCTAGTTCTCCCGGATTAGCAGCTTTTTGGCACCTAACCGATAAGCCACACCCACCCGAAAACCTGGCCCGTTGCGTGATGCGCTGCACGGTCTTCTTGAAAGTCAACGGGCTGCTGCACGACGCCGACGCGGTCATGTCGATCTCATCGCCGGAGAGGGAGGATGCCGTAGGCTTCCCTGAATCGGGGATACCGTATTATTTGATGGGCCCTACTTTCCAATAGTCGCTGGTGACAGGAAGGTGGTGGTCGGGATGGCGAGCTTGAAGTCTAGCTTCTCGGAGCTCGAGTTTTCGCCCTCCTGAAATATTGTGTGGGTATTCCGTTGGGAGTTTGGTAACAGAATGTCGAAAATGAGGATTTCAAAAAGCCATTTGTCACTATCCTTAAGGATCAGAATACCGGCAATCCTTAATGGAAATCTCAGAGCGTGCAAATTTCATAATATCGAAAAAAAAAGATAAAATTCATAATTTCGAAATCTCAAAATATCGAAAGTTCAATTTCAAATTTGCTTATGAAAATCTCAAATCTCAAAATGACAAATTTCATAATACCGAAATCTCAGAGTGTCTAAAGTTCATTATACCGACATTTCAGAGTGTCAAAAATCCACAAAATCGCATTTTTAGACATCCAACTCGCAGAAGACCGAATTGCGATGAAAAAAACTCCCGAAAAAATTCTAAAACCTAAAATTGGGCATTTCGAATTCAGCACGCTAAAATTCGCCAACTAAAAATGTCGAAAATCCGAAATTTCGACAGAATGTTTTCCTCCTACTGGCTCGTACTCACCTGCACAAAATACGTCAGCGAGCCGCGTATCTTTTGCGACACCGACGGGGAGGCAATGGACAGCCGGAGATGAACACTGGCGGTGCCGCCAGGAGGGATTGTAGGCACAGAAATACCATCCTATAATGAAGTGATTACAGTACTATAATTTTTATATAAGTCATCGTAGTCTGTAGTTTTAATTTACGACCACGCACCTCGGCGCCCTGCGTTTTCAGCCGGGCATTCAGCGTATCGCACACGTTCATCTCGACCCGCTTCACCTCCAGAGATCCCTCATTGACAAGGGCCACCGTAACCACGCAAACCGAAGGCTCGTCCGGACAAACACCGACCGAGTATTCCTAAAGGTTTTAGATTAGGTTCTTGTGTATTATTGGGGGGAAATCCCGTAAGGACCAATTTTCCTAGAAACCCCTTCCACACCAGAACGTAAAAGCGTCACCAATTTATATAAAAAAAAACAGAAAAATGCCGATTTTCGATAAAATTTGCAGATCGTTTTCGACGTTTTATAAATAGATTCGCCACTTTAAATATAGTTAAATTTGACAAAGAACGCTGTTAAATACTTGTTATTAATCCATGGCCCAATTTTTTAAAAAGTCTGTCTAGACTATTTTTTACCATCTATATACGTAAAAGCTCCAGAAATTCTATTAAAAATACAAACATTACCATTTTAATCCAAACCAGGGTTGAAAAGCCGCTTCGCGACTTTTCAACCCTGGCCCCGTCTGGGCCCTATGAAAGTTTACACTTTGCATAATTCCACCCACATCCCACGAACAAAAAAAAATGAGAAGAACGGCTCTCTCCTCCTTTATATAGGCTAGCGCCACTTCCGGCGTATGCTAATTAATTCCTAACAAAGAGGTCGGGCGAGATTTTCACAAAAACCTAATTTTAATATCGAAAACAGCTTATTTTCAAAAATCTAATAGGTGTGCAGTCGTGTCATGACCATTACGCACCTAATGACATATCGTACATACCCCTCACTACTTCCTATATCGAGATACGACTGGAACATACGGACGGAAGTTGCATGCAAATGCACACACACACACACAGACACTATTTTTTTTTATATATAGTAGGATTTTCATTTTTTAGAAAATGTATAGATTTTATAAATGGTTTTGCCACCTGTAATAGGGTAAGATTTGATAAAATTATAATTAAAATTTGTATGCATTAATGTAATAACTTTTCACTCCAGACTTACCGCTTTCAAGTCCCCATTACTAGCCAGACTGGCCAGGTGTGGATGGCTGGACGCGGGCGATGCCCCGATCGATTCGCTGAACGGATTTGAGGACGGCGTGCAGACACCGGATGGCTGCTCGTAGGCTTCACGCGACGGCACCGCCAGCTTCTTCTTTTTGCCCTTGCCCTTCTTTTCGGCCTGAAAACGGAATTTTTTTGTATCAAATTTGAACCGACCTTGAGCGCATCCGCTGCTTGTTCAACCACGGTTTCCGTGTCCAGCCAGGTGTCGATGTCATTTGTGGCCTCGGGCGCAACCGGTTCGCCGTTTGTGGCCGTCGCTCCTGGGGTTTTTGCCTTCTTCTTTTTCTTGGGCTTTCTAAAAAACCGTTCTTGTTGACGTCAATTGTAAAGTACGTAAATTGACGCTCGCGTACTGTTGCCTATTGTTTTTCGGCTAAAAATGCCGTAAAAACGTACTAAAAACCTCCTTTCTCTCTAAACCTCCTAAAAACACGCACGCCCCGATATGTTCGTCTGTAAGTCCGAAAAACTGTACGCTAGATTAGGTAAAAAACGCGCTCTTTCCACTTTTTCTGCTTAAAAATAAGTACGGTGCAAACTGGGCGTCAACTAACGTAAACACGTACTCCTCCGCATCCTTTTCGGTCTTCTTCTTTTTCTTCTTCGTCTCTACGGCCGGCTTCTTCAGCAGTGGTCCCGTGGTTGGTGGCCGAGGTTGCAGTGGGCCCTGCTGAAAAGCAACAACTTTTAAAATTCCACTAACCCCCACAACAGCGCCGACAACATACAAAAAGCGCGATCGTAAAATGCTAGTTTCCTGTCGACAGGGGATTCTAGACGTGTTTGACAACAAATTCACACAGCTCGCCGCGTCATTTGGACAGTAACGGACGGGGCTGATAGATATAGATAAACATCTCGAAATTCACGTGACCCCGATGCGCCCTTACATATTCCATCGAGTAGGCCTCGTCTATCGCGTAGGGATGCTAGGGGGATTTTCGTATTTTCAAAAAACTGTTTAGAGCTTCGGAAACTCTTTATAAAAAACCCCGGAAAATTATTACCATAAGTGGACGATGGCTGACGGTTTGTCGGATATATGCCTGGGGACCGCGAACGATTTCATCGGGTCTAAATCCGAGAAATATACTAATACGGTGCTTCTGCAGAATTAAGGGAACGATTAATTTTTCCTATAACTGTATATTTATATCTTCTACTCTTTATTTTTCTTTCATTTTTCTTATTTTCATTTTTCTTATTTTAGTCAATTTACATAATTTTTTTTCTTTTTCTTTTTTCTTTAAAGGGCTGCCGACGGCATGTGTCGATCCCCCCCATCAACAAATTGGCAAGTAGCCAACAGGGGAGAGAGCGCGCCCAGGGGAGAGGCGCAGAGATATTTTCTTTTCCGCGCGTAACCGATTGACTATGCCGTCGGCATCCCTTTAAGTTCTCCTATGTAAAATTCAGATGCACTTCTAATTGGAAAAACTATTTAGACAACCGTAAAAAGGTCTGAAAATACCAAAAATTGGACGAAAATCGCTATTTTTTTCTGAAACATCTATGTCTATGTCATTGTTTACTCTATATATGTAGATTTTCCGCTAGGGAATAATGAAAAAAGGCTGGAATAGATCCTCAATTTATATCAGAAAAATTAAATCCTAAAGAAAAAAAATTTGCGTCCTTTGTTTTATGAAAGAACTATTAAGCAAACGAACCTGAGCGGCTCGTCCAGATTCACGTCAAGCGCCTTGAACTCGTCGGTCAAGCCGTTCTGAAATACTTCATAAATCGTCAAACGTCCAAAAACGGACCGTTTTCTCCTCGGCCTCATCGTCGGTGGATTTTGCGTTCTCCGGCATCTCACCGTCGTGTCGATTCACCTGAACAATGATAAATCAAAAATAAAGTGAAAAATGTACCTGGTGAACGACGGCGGCCTCGTCTTCATCACTAGTCGTGTCATGCCTCTTCTTTTTGCCCTTTTTCGTCGTCTTTTTCTTCTCTTTCTTCGCCTTCTTCCAGGTCAACGTCGCGTCCTGTTGTTCCATATAACGGGAGAGGCCGACGACGCCTAGAAAATTTACTAGAAGAGCTCCCGTGGTGCTTTTACAAATTTATATATGTGTATGAATGGAACAGCAATTGTTTTCATAAAGATTTTGTTAAAATTTAGCTAAATTTCAATGGAAAAAAATGCGTAAACATTGAAATTTGGCCGAAAAATCTGTATTTTTGTATTTCCAACAAGTTAACTTATCTTTTAAAGTTTAGCTCAATTTCAAACTGTCTACAAGTTATCGAAAGTGCGTAAAAACAGAAATTTTGTCCAAAGCTGGTATTTTTGGATTTTGCATGAAAATTTGTAAAATTTCTGCGCTTCTTTCTCTTTTTTATTAGTTTTAACTGCTCTAAAAAATACCTGGAATTTCCAGCGGACTTTGTATATTCAAGTGCGCGGATGTTGTCCCGTTTTCTTCAGCTTTCGGCGCCATTTGGAATTCGGTGGGGCGTTTTGGCTGTGTGGCCGTTCCTTTCACGTAGTACCTAAAGTGATTAAAATCGCAAAAAAACGGCGACAACTCACGGATTGCTCTGTATCTCTCGCTCTCTCTGCAGCTTCCGCTTCTCCAGCTCGGCCGGCGTCAGCTCGGTGGACGCCTTCTTTTTCGGCTTTTTCTGGTGTGCGGGCTCGGCCTCTTCGTCGGATTCGTATCGGGGTGGGCCGCCAAAGTTGGCGAACTCGCTGCGTACCTAGAATAAAAGTGAATTCCAGATTTTTCATTGATTAATTTCAACATTTCCACTTTAACTTACCCGCATTTGTCCGAACGTCTTCTCGGCCTCATCTTCATCACTGCTTTCCGACGCGCTCTCCTGCCATTCCTCTCCGATCCACACATCCAGATCGAGACCCTCCGGCAGTGGCACTTTCCGTTGTGCCTTTCCGGCCACCGGGTTCAGCTCTCCCTCGTACAATTGGCACACTTCCGCTCCAACCTTCTCCTTTCGACTGTGGTACTGCTCGAGGACACGCAGCATCGCGGCCAGGGTGCACGCCTAAAATGGTTTTTTAAGACAATAGAATGCGCAAAAAGCGTGAACTTTTGAAGGAAATTTGCGAAAATACCGACAGATCAAAATGGAAAACCTCGACACCCCCGAACTATGTCGGGATTTTTGCTGTCACGATTCGACACTCATTTTGACCTGTCGGGATTTCCACCTTTTTTGAATTTGGTACGCTTGAATCGGTATTTTGGCCTTTTCACCCAATTTCCTAGTACTTACCCGCTCTTGAGCCTCCAAGTGTTCGGCCAACTCGAGCTCCGGCAATTTGCTCATCATCAAATTGTCCAGCGATTCCACGGCGTCCCAATCGTCCTCGGCCTCGGCCTTGCCCAACAGCGCGGCGTACAGCTTTCCAATGTTTTGCACATAGACCGAGAGGATGTGGCCGGGCATCAACGATGGTTTTGCTTTGAGCATGGCAGCGAGTACACCATCGAGATCGCGGACATGCTCCCAATATTCGCCACAAATCCAAGCGGCCGCCAGCAACACTTCGCTGATGTTTGAGCGCTGCTGTGCGCTTCCGGAAAGGAGCAGATTCGCGTTCTCCACCAATAACGCCATCTGGGAGACGGAGAAGTGGCGAATCGATTGGACGCGTACGGTGACGTCTTGGATCTAAAAATATGGAAATTTTCGTTTTTAGCAATAACTATAGTGGTTAGCTTTCGAATTATCCATGAAAAAAAACGAGGGCATGTTTTCATTTTATTACTATTGCTAGACATCAAAATATCATTTTTAAAAAATACGTAAAATATAGCTTTCAAGAATTAGATCGTTTTTGAAAGATTTCTAATAGTTTTCCGTCTAAATTTTACCAAAAAAAAACCATAAAATACTTTCTATCAGGTTATCAGTAATAAGTAAACTTCTAAGAAATTCGCTTCCGCCTCCCGCCAGAAATATTAAAGTTTGATAAACTAAAGAAACCTTAAAAATCATTCTAATCCCAAAGTTACAAGACTTTTTGCAGTCGTTTTCGTCGTAGTCATTTTTCCGCTTGTATTTCTTAAATACCTTGAAAATACTTACTATTACTTTCTTAGCATTCGGAATATGAACGAAAAATTATCGGCAAGGCTGGCCTTATTATTCCGTAGCTTTCAATCGAAACGGACCTGTTCAGCAATTTTGGCGCCGTGCTTCGTCCCTTCGACCTTCGTCAGCTCGACGAGCACCGAGATGTACCACTCAAAGTTTGTGATGTATTGGTAATTGTTGTAGGAGCAGATGGAGATGATCCGGGACAGCAGCTCGTCCCTAGAATCATGGAGAATTAAGGGTTTTTGCGGCTTTTTATACCTGTAATGCGATCCCTCCGCATGTTCCACATGTTCCATCAGCTTCTTCACAATCTCCATGATGTTCTTCTTCGAGACCATGCCGTAGAGCAAGTCGAGGGACCTGGAAGTGGTGTGTAAATTTTTATTCGCTGAGCAATTGCCTACCTTATCCTGATGCTCTCGTCACGATCGTCGAGGCAGCGTAGAACAATGTCTTTGTGCGCCTAAATACCCGAATCAGATCTCCGTAATTAACATTTTTAGTGCACTTCACCGAATTTCATCGGCTTTTTCATTTTTACACATTTTTGTGGTTTCATGTAAGAAAACGTTGTTTTAAATATTCTCTAGGTCAAAAAGTTGCGAAACAAATGCACCGAAAGCAAGTTAGAATAGAAAAATCCTGGAAAAGCCCTGGAAAAATCAAACGGAACGCAATCCATCTATACGTATTCTCTCGTACCTGCACAGCTTTCGGGTGCGTCTGTAGAATCTTGCCCATCGCCAACAGGCCCAGGTATTTCAGGTTCTGGTCAGAATCCTCGATGAGCAGGCCGAGCTTCTGGACGCACAGCTGGATGCTTGTCGTGTGGTCGCCCGGCGTGCCGGCGGATGTGCTGATGAGCACTGAAAAGCGAGTTCGAAATTAATTTCTAACAAAGCTTATTTTTCAAAGTTTTGGGCTCGAAACGTACCAGCAATGACCGTGTTTATGCACTCGTAGAGCAGCGACATAGCCGAGGTGCTGTTGATCAAATTCGTCAGTGGTTCGAGCAGCTTTTTGCCCAGTCTAGGCTCCAACGGGACGAGCGCGCCGAACTGAAAGGGGAAATGGAAAACAGTGATTAAGAAAAAATGAGTCTTTAGCATTTATTAATGCGGAAGTTTTCCTAAAAGTTCGCCGAAAATTTAGACAATTTCGATGGCTAGGGTAATAAAAACGATTTAGAAACAGGTTATCTAATAGTATTCCCAAAATTCGATTCAAAGAAAAAAGTTTGCTGATTTTTTGCCTAGAAATGCCAAAGAACGAGTTTCTGGCCTTTTGAACCAACTAATAATTTAAACCTCCCGCCTACCAATTTAATAATCTTGATCAACATCCAGTTGTTCGACGACGTCGTCATCAACTTGAAGAAAACGGGCGCGAGCGTCAGATAGTTTTTCGGGTTCTTTCGCGCTAACTCGCAGATGACGTTCACGGCAGCACTTTGGACGCCTGGAAAGGAGCTTGATAGCTAAAAATGCCGGGAAACCTACCAGGATCCGCGTCTTCAAGCCGTTCCTTCAATCGGGGAAACGTCGGCCGTAGCGCGTCGGGGTATTTTAGAAAAATCTTGTACAGCAGCAGCACGGCTCGTTTCCGGATGTATGGCCGGGAGCAGGTTAACTAAAAAAAATCATGAACTTGACTTGGGAGTCAAGATTAACTGTATGAAAAAATGGTTTTAAGACCTACCAGATTTACGATATCACTAGCCAAGTCCCTGGCCAAATCCGGGGTCACAAAACAGGCCATACCGCCCAGCGCCACGCCCGAATCATACCTAAATAGCAGAAAATATACGGAAAAATATGGTAACGCGTACATATTGGGGGAATTAATATCCTTTCGAATCATTTGGGTCGTCAACATCAACACTTCGGTGTCGTCGTGAAAGGATTGGGCGGCGGCTAGGTATCTGAGACGACAAACTTCAAGCAAGGAATATGGCGCTACCCTATCCGTTTTTCGGTATATTTTGTTGAGGCCATCACCTCGATGATGTTGAACGAGGCCCACGAAATGTCGTAGCCAAGCATTTGTAACTGCAAATGATAGGCATACGCAATTATTTGGCCCATTTTTACAATAGCAACACGTTGTTGATTTTCTTAATATAATAAATATTATACTGCATAAAATGCATTTGTTCGAATAATATTCATTTTGAACGATAAAGTATAACTTACATATGCCAATTTCTCGATAGCATTGGCCTTGACGAACGTCGACTCCTGTTTGAGCTCCATCTTGATCTCCTCGATGCACGACGCGATATAACGAGCCTAAAATATCAAAGTTAAAAGTTTAATAGAGGATAACCTCATTATCTTTGTTGTTCCTGATACCACGAATGAGATCGGTGAGGCTCTTGTCGAACAGACGGTCGAGGTTTGACCGAATGTTCTTCAACGCCATCTCCTCGAACCTGCAATCAAAAAATGTTTGAAAATGCTGAGAGAAAAAAGAGAGCTTTGTAAGGTTGTAAAAATAGAACTAAACCAGATCAATGCTTAATCAATGATGAAGCGAGCATCTGCTTCTGAACATGACCTAGCATTAGTGCTTCTTCTTGGGGTTTTGAAGCGTTTTTCACTGCAGGAATGATAAAGGCCGGGGCACGAAATAGCAGATGTGCCCATTATAACAATCGAAAAATGAATAACCTATCGTTTTTCATGGTTTTCATAGCCTTTTAACGAATTTGTAAAGTTGAAGCAGTGTTATAAAGTAATTTGCTATGGGTAAAACTACCTAACAAGCTATCTAGTCTGGTTTGGCATATTAAAATACACACTAGACGTCTAGTAATACCTTTGGTCTACTTTGGGAAGCTTACAGCCATTGTTCAAATTTAGATTATCGATCTAAGCCCTAAAATACGCCGTTGGCGATATATAAAGGAAGATCTAAAGTTATTTACGCTTTCTGGTTTATAGATATGCTTCTAAACTTAAGCTCTATGAAGCTCTTAAAAAGCTCTATGAAGATTTTTTCCAGGCTGTTAAAATTGATTAAACTTTAGAAACGCTGAAACTTCGCAAGTTTCCCTTACTGTTTCTTACTAAAAATGCAAAAATTATCAATATTAAACGCAATCAAAGAAGATCTGTCGCTGAGCAAAGGCGATGCTCGAAACAGCGTGGCAGGCACCAAAAGGCAGCAATAAATTTTGAGGGATGGCATATTTCTGGAGGCGAAGCCGAGGGGTATTGGCCAGAACGGCCGGCCGGGGGAGGACGAGAATCGCCCATTTTGGGGGGATTTCTGGGTGGCCGGGAGTGGAGAGTGGGTACAAATAGGGGAGAGGCCCAGAGAAATGAGGGTGAGTGGCCGGAGGGCATGGAAGAAGCCATGGAGAATCTGTGAAGAAGCAGGGGGAGAGGAAAGGGAGAGACGGACATGCTTTAGCCATGCTCCCTAAAAGATGGATATCGGGAAGCTACGTACTCGTCATTAACGATTCTGGACATAAGAATGGTGCTGCAATTTTTTGGGTTCTGTCGCGTTATCGGGGGGGGGGGGGGTCCCAGAAGCCCGAAAATGCCTAGTAACGTTGTATGAAGTATTTTAAAGACCGTCAGAACGATGAAATATCGTTTAGAGCAAGAAAGTTGCGCACCGGGCGGGGGTCGAACCCGCGATGGTTCGCTCCACAGTCTGAGGCGCTAGCCACTATACCACAGGGCCAAGTAGGGAAGGGAGTCAGAGGCGCCCCAAACCCCAGAGGGCCTTTGCCCAGTACGAGGCACCACTAATGACGCCTCTCTCCGCGCGTTCTTGGGGACAGCACCCTCGGGGTGACAGTGCGCGTTCCATCGTTCTGGTAGTCTTTAATAGTGTTTTAGTGAAATTTGCTGTATTTAAAGCGAAAAGCTCTCTAAACAAAACGTTAAAAATCCGACATTTCGGTCAAAAACGGCCATTTTTGCGCCAAAAAGGCTATGTTTTTGCATTTTCCATGAAAGTTTGTCGTTTTTTACGTTTAGAGTACAGTAAAAACAGTTTCAAAACAATTTCGCTATTTAGTTGAGCAAAATTGGATCCTTAGAAAAATAAATGGTGCCCGATAATGCGTAAAAACCATTTCTCGGCGATAAAAATGGTTTAAAATATGGGTTTTTTTTAAACCGTAAAACATCTTTTGGTATTTTTCGGCGCTCTATCGAATGAAATGTTCAAAGCTTTGGAAATGGACGCTTAAAAAGTAATAATAATGTAAATAAATCGATAAAATCATGAAAAACACAAACGTACGTATAGAAGATGACCTGCGAGGCGTCAAAGATGCGAACGTGTGGCGGACGCTGCTGCTGCTGCTGGCTCATCCGATGTCACCGGCTTCTGACCTCGACAAAAAAAAGAATTGGGTCCCGCTGCGGGCTCTTCTTTTGGTCACTCAATAATTTGTTATCAACCCTCAACGCGATTCGTATAGTCTGTGCCCTATCGTGGCCTCGGCTGCTTCCAAATAGACAAATAAGACGGCGGCTTCGAAAGCTTAGGGGCGCGGGCTTATGATGTTCACTTTCCGGGGCTTCATCCGGCTTTTAATACTTTTCCCGGCTATTTACGCCTATCGCCAACATTTGGAGTTGACGATCAAGGGATCCGGTAAGTTTTTTTGGGGCTAGGCTCTTAGCGGGGGGCTTTTGCCAAAGTATCCATTTTACATATCAATTTCTTAAATATTTTTTGTTATCCTAAGCGCAAAAACTTTTATTAAGCATTATGTTAACTTTAGAAATTTACAATAATAAAGGGTTTACAAATTTTATTACGCACTATAAAAACGATTTTTCGACCAAAATTTCTATTTTTTGTAATGTTGTAAGATAGGTTTTCCATTTGGAATATACCTAAATTTTACTCATAACTTTATTGAAATACTTTTTATTCAATGACTAGGAATTTCTGGCAATCTCTAGTAATGTTTAATTTCTAAAAAGATTTTTACGCTTTCGTGATCCGAGCCTAACAAAAACACTATAAATTTTTATTTTAAAGATGTTTGAAAAATCCAGTGATAAGTATATTCCATGACCAAACAATAGAATTTTCTGATTCAGATTTTTCCCACATTAAAATCAACTTTTTCTGGAATAGAAAAGTATTTTGTTTAGAAGAAATCATCGAACAGGCCGTGGAAAGTCTGCAAAAATCGCTAGACAAAGATTTGCTGAGCCTTGACATTACAAAGGTTTTGTTTTGTCAAGAAAAATGTCGATAATTGTGTTTCAGGAAAGAAAAGAAGGGCACTTTGTCGAGCTGCAGGTGCATGGAAAGACATGGACGAAGGGGATCGATAATCAGATGATGATGCCCGCCCAGAAGGAGCATATTGGGGGCGTTATTGTAGAGTAGGTTGAAACCGATATTTTTTTCTAAATAAAAATACACCACTGAAAAACAGAGGTTCTGTGGCATCGGGGGACGGGGGGGAATGAGGCTGTATTTTTGCCCCTAATCCTAGATAATGCATATTCATGTAATAGCAAAAAGTTTATGAGCGGATTTTTAAAATGTTACATCTCCAAGTGGAAAAACCAATTAACAAACTTCTAAAATGTTTCGAAATTTATAGTTTTTGGTCTGAAGTGCTATATTTAAAGGAAAAACGGACCGCTTAAAACAGGTGCTTTGGCATTATCGGGGGGTAACCCAACTTTTTCTTCCAGCTTTCGATATAAATCGAGACAGTACCAAGGTCAGTGAAATGCCAAGTCAAATTTTCAGTAAAAAAAATGCAAAAATAGCGACTTTCCGATCGCAATTTAACCTTTTTGCTTTTTTACACTGGAAATACAGTAAAATGTTGCTAGAAAGACTATTAAAAAACGCCATTTAATTACTAGGCAGTTCTATTACATCGAAAAAAGTATTCCCCCCCGATAATGCAAAAGCACCAAAAACATTAAAAAATTTTAGAACGATCCGAGGCGCGGGAATCGACCATGCGAGAGCCTTTCAGGACCCAGCACTGCGTGAGTCTGAAAATAAAACCCCTTTGTTGGTTGTCCGTCACGTTTTCTTCCCTTTCAGATGCCCAAAAATGGCGTGAACTTGCCCACGAGCTTGTGCAGCACCGCCTGGAAAATCCGGGCGTCTTGAAGAAGTTTGTGGCCGGGGATGAACATCGATTTGCGCTTTTTTATAATGATGGTTCGTTAAAAAAGCGAGGGCAAATGAAAAAGCATCGGCTTAGAGGGAGGCATGGCGAATCACCATGCGGCCGTCATCGTCTCGTTGGCAAGGAGGGAGATGGAGGGGGCTGAGGTATTTTAAGAATTATTTGGCACTTAGAAGTCGTTAAAAGTCGCTTTAAATTTTTGCGAGCCTATTTTAGGTAATTATCATCGACTGCACCCACGACGTCTTCAAATGCGGTGAATACGTTGACGTGGCCCACTTCCCAACTCTACGCTACTATCGTGACAAAAAGGTGATCAGCGCGTAATATCGTCGCGTAGTTATCAGAGAGCTTCGAGAAAAGCCAAAATCCCTACAGCCAAAATATCGACAGCCAGAATCCACAGTTAAAATCCCGACAGCCAACCAGGATAGCCAGGATCCACAGTAAAAATCCCGACACTCAAAATCCTGAAGCTTCAAAATGCCGACATCCAAAAATACCGACAGGCAGAATCCCGGCATCTCGAACGTCGACAGCCAAAATCCCAGGTTACCGACATGCAAAATCGCAGCTTAAAAGGCAGTCGCATTCAAACTAGCGTCTGGAATATTTCGATTTATTATGATTGTCGGTATTATGATTGTCGGCATTATGACTGTCGGTATTTTCGCGGTCGGCATTATTCCTCGCGCTTTAGTTGCAAAAGGCGTGGACCACGGAACTGGACATGATGACGGTGGAGGACATCAGTGATTTGGTCATCAGGTGAATTCCGTCAAAATTTCGCAAATCCTTCCGTCGTAGGTCTATCGACGATACGGTACATCGAGTCAACGAGGACCTGGTTGGTCGCTTGATTAAGCTTAAAAACGGGTCTTTTTGCATTATCGGGGGGTGGTGAATTCCTTAGGCTCGAATTTTTCGAATCTAAAAAGCCAAAATATTGGGTTTTTGTTTTGCTATCCTTTGATCGAAAAAGTATAATACAGTGCTCCACATAATCTTAGATCCACCTCTAAAAATCGGCAAATAAAAATTTTTCCACTTTTTGGCAAAAAGTTAGCAACATGATCTTCTCGCTTCTGGTATTTAAAATTTATACCAAAAGCGCCAATGCCGATCAACGGTTAGACAAAATCATTAGCTAGAAAAACATGAAAAAACCATTTTGGCGACTCCACATAATCTTAGGTCCACCCGGCTTTACGAAAAAACGCGTGGGCCCAGGGTGCTTAATCGAAGCTCTTTTGCTTAATCACAACCTCAGCTACTCATTGAAACGAAAAAACTGGGTTGCCAAGCCCTGGGACGATTTTTGAAAAATCGGATTTTAACAAAGGAATTTGCTTTTTTAATTCTAAAAAATCGAAATCAATTCCCTTCGATTCAATGACCAAATACGAAATAGCACTACAAAGGGCGCTCATTTTGTTATACAGGAACACCCGCAAAATAGTCAGCAAGGCTTATTAAAACGCTTCCGAAGGTGCTACCATGGCTGACGTAGACCGGGTTAATGCATTTCACAGCACCCAGACTTTGTCCGGATTTTATAAACTTGGGGCTCAAATTTTCAAGGGTTTCATGATACTGAAATGACCGCAATTAGAAGCTCTTTCCGATACGGTAGACAAATCTCGGCTCCACTCCGGTTTTCGATTTTTTAGAATTAAAAAAGCAAATTCCTTTGTTAAAATCCGATTTTTTAAAAATCGTCCCAGGGCTTGGCAACCCAGTTTTTTCGTTTCAATGAGTAGCTTAGGTTGTGATTAAGCGAAAGAACTTCGATTAAGCACTCTGGGCCCACGCGCTTTTTCGTAAAGCCGGGTGGACCTAAGATTATGTGGAGTCGCCAAAATGGTTTTTTCATGTTTTTCTAGCTAATGATTTTGTCTAACCGTTGATCGGCATTGGCGCTTTTGGTATAAATTTTAAATACCAGAAGCGAGAAGATCATGTTGCTAACTTTTTGCCAAAAAGTGGAAAAATTTTTATTTGCCGATTTTTAGAGGTGGACCTAAGATTATGTGGAGCACTGTACATATTTTTATTGAAAGTGCCGCGAGCGCGATTTTTTAATCAAACAAATTAAATTTTATTGAAACACTAGCAAAAACTCCACCGATTCATTTCTAGGCATTTTTAGACCTGGGTTAAAAATCCGGTTCTCCTCCCCCGTTAACGCAAAAGAACCCTTAAAAATTGCCTTTTAGGTTCCATACTGGCGTGAGGGGATGCTGGAGGGTTATGGCCATCCCCTCGACACGGTTCATCTATTCTTCGGTCACGACGAGAATGAAGAAGCATATAGGAGATATCAGGAAACGGCTGAGGCGTTGAAAGGGCACTACACTTTCGGAGCCCTCATCGATGAGAAGGTGTCACAGTGGTAGCAATTATTTTAATTGTTTAAAGAGCGTGTTTCATCGAAAATTATATATTTTTGTCGGTTTCCAGGGCCACCCATCCCGCAATAATCACCATGAAGCCGCAGGATACAGAGGTGTTTTTTTTTTCAAAAGACCAACTTTTCGCTTAGCATCCATTTTTCTAATATAAGAAAAGCGCAAGTGTTTCTGAGCTTTTTTGTTACTATTCCTAAACGTAAAAACTCTACGAATTTTTTATTACAAAATCCAAAAAATCGATCTTTTGACCAGCATTGGGCAATTTTTGCCAAAAGCTTCGACCTAAAAAAATTTGTTTAATTTTTGGATTAAAAAATTTTGGTCTCAGCGATAATGCGAAAACTTCAAATGACGTGAAAACGCGTTTTTAACAGGTTTAATAAAAGTTTAAAGACGAAAGCCGTCGCCCATCACAAGGAATGGACCGTCGAGGCGCTGACACGCTACATTCGATTCTCGTCTCGGCCGCTATTGGTGTGCAATATGTAGAAGCTTGGCTTCCGGCTGCTAATTTTTCAGCAATCCTTGTAGTTTATAAACTACAAAAAACCCATAAATCCCACGAGCAGGCATTAGCCGCTGCCGAATTTCGGGCTATCCTCTCTGTTTCGGCGAAATGTTTCCGACGCACGCGCCACCTGGCTTACGTACGTCTAAAATCGTGTAGCTAGCCACGATTGCTAATCATGTCTACTCCCTCATGTCATTTTTAGTTTTGATTTTGGTGATTTGGAACACAGAAAAAAAAAAATCTGAATGGCTTAGCACGACCTCTCCAAGCCACGTGAAGCTGTGGAAGCCATCGATTCGGATTGCGTCTTATTGTTCCTTTTCGACCCAAAGGTATCTAAGCCATGGAAGAAGCATCAAAACCTAAAAAATAATTGTTAGATGGCCGTGGCTGCTCGTCCGCTCTATGAATTGGCACAGGATATCGAGTATCGGGAGACAGTACCGCTGGTGGTTGGAACGGTGAATGGGTACGTTATAGGTGGAAGACATTAATCTGACATTTCTCAGCACATCACCCTTCGGCCTGGCCTTCTCGACGTGGGCCGGGTTGAAGCAGTTCGACCGCGCCCAGTGGGTGTTGGTAAACCACAATGAGGTAGGGGCTAGACTTTACCTTATCGCCCCCCCCCCCCCATCCGGAAGTTCCCAAAATCTTTCGACATTTCCGACATTTTGTCGGGATTTTGGCTCGGAGAATCGATAGAGCATCAAAAAATATACTGCATAGTATGCCCAAAATAATGTAATATAAAAAGTTTGGGAGCTTCCGGCTGGGGCAAAGTACAGTGTTACCGAGGTAGTATATCTAGAAATAAGTATGTGAATACCAACACTAATACAATCAGGAAATCGACGTCGCTTACGTGTTGCCGGTCGACCCCGAGAAGCCGCTGGATTTGAAGAAATTTGTGAAAAAGCCAGAGGAGATGGCAAAAGCTAGAGGTAAACCTTGCGGGGAGACCGGAAAATTCTTCCAGAATCCACCCTTCACCTCGATTTCCTGAAAAACGTTGCGCTGGGCGAGAATTTTGAGGATTGTAGGGGGATGGCGTCGAGGTGAAACTGATTTTTGCTTTTCGCTTTTAACTGCCATTTTTCTTTAGAAAATGGCACGAACCAGGCACGCTGCCACGACCACCACTACACGACGAGGCACACGATGAACTGTAGAGCCAGAGATTACACGATAAATTATTTTATTTTGCTTAGGATCCAAAAGGGAAACAAACTTTTTAGAGCTATTTTTTTCTCATTTTGTGGATCATTTTTGCCGAGTCTAAGTTCAAGTGTTCAAACTATGTTTAAAGTGTTAAAACAATCAAAAAATTAGAAAAAGTATTTTTTGTGTTTTCTAAATCTAGGATCTAAAATCTAAATCCTATGAAGGCTATTCTGGAAATCCCGAAATTTCTGATTAGCGTCGCTTTTCGCGGTTTCTAAAATCTTTCCCAACTCCGCCAGGTGCCAATCCCCACTAACCATAATCCCTTCAAAGCCCCCGATCGCCGCGGGACGCCCTCCCCCTCCCCGCCACCGGCACTTCTCAAGGCGCAAAAAGCGCGAGAGAAAGGGTGTGGGCTTCAAAAAACGAGGGCATTCAGGCTGTCAGTATGATTCGAGGGGGGGGGGGCTCACCTTCCGGCCCGAAACCAGTTCACACCCCCAAGGGTTGCAATTATTGGGCGGGCACAGAAGACACTGATGCACTACCCAGCTGCTGCTCACAGCTATATATACTGTAGTGGAGGAGGGGGGGTGTGATTCTCGGAATATTCCACATGACGCTTAAAGACGAGGCAGTACCCAGCAGGACCGTGCGGATCGCGCTTGGATTGGCGCTAGTTGGTGGGTCCTTAATTTCGACATGTTCGCTATCTTCCGGATATCTTAACGACATAAGAATTTGTCTTTTTTTTCCAGGCTTCTCCTCGCTTCTCATCTTCTCCGCCACCATCCTCAGCATGATCGACGACATCGACAAGGAGCTGTCGACGGCATTCACTTCTGTTAATGTTGGATGTTTTCACAAAAAAATTTGAACCCTCTGGTAATGGGAAAAGTCAAAATCCCGACTGGCCAAAATGCCGATATTGAAACTCCCGACACCCATAATCCCGACAACCAAAATCCCGACATGCAAAATAGCTGTTTAAAAAGCTGCCATTCAAATTGGCGGCAAGAACGTGTCGGCATTTTGGCCTGTCGGCATTTCGGCCTGTCGGCATTTACGCTGTCGGGATTTTGACTGGAATTTCTTCTCATAAATTTTGTTCTAGTCGGAGGCCCGCGAAATGTGGCAAGCGTTACGGCAGATGGACGATGGATTGAGTGGGAGACGGCGCCGACAAATTGTGCAGGAATACGGTATGGTCCGATCACTTCGAAGGGCACCGGTCTTTCTCTCTCTCTCTCTCTCTCTCTCTGTCTGTGTCTCTCGTTCCCTCTCTGTTACTCTCTGTCTTTCTGTATATCTCTCAATATCTCTCTGTCCTTCTCACTCTCTCTCTCTCTCTGTCTGTGTCTCTCGTTCCTTCTCTGTTACTCTCTGTCTTTCTGTATATCTATCAATATCTCTCTGTCTCTCTCTCTCTCTCTCTCTCTCTCTTTCTTTCTTTCTTTCTTTCTCTCTCTTTCAAGGTGTATACGCCGCAATCTAAGTATCGGTTCCTTTTTTTATTTCCTTATTTCCGACCAACCCAGCATAAGCGTTATACGTATCTTCCGTACGCGTTAAGGGCTTTGTTTCCAGGCCTCGCCGACCCGGAATACCCAACGGCGTACACCACGGCTTCCCCACCATCCTACGCAGCCACCAAACAGCGATATTCGGGCCCAAAATATGGATATGGCTATACTAAGCTGAAATGTTTGTTGTTTATATTTAATGCCAGTTTTTTAACTGAGAAAAAGGGGAATGGAGATTTCTACGAAGCTTCCCGGATAGCCCAGAATCTACTAAAATTTATACACATTAGATGGTATTAATTTCCTTATCCCTTCAGGCTGCTGTGCCGACAACCCGGCGGCGGCGCTCAACGAGAATTTGCCCGTTTCCTACAAATGTCCGATCGGCTACAAGGGACCGCCCGGACCGCCCGGGTACGTTTTTTAACTTTTAGGCATTGTTTTATCAAATTGTGCAGAGAAACCGGCGAAACCGGAACTCCAGGTGTTCCCGGCTACCCCGGCACCCCGGCCGCTAATCTCTATGCCAACCCCGCGTAGGTTTGCTTAAATTATCAGCTAATAGACGATTTGTTATCAGCATCTCGAAAGCTCACTTTGTCGACATTTCCCTCCCTATCCCATTTTCTTGATATTCCATTCTTTCAAAAAATGGACTTTTTCGGTATTTGATTTTGTCGAAATTTCCCTTTGTCGGTATTCCATTTTGTCGAAACCACACTTTGTCGGCATTTTGTTTTGTCGAAATCTTACTGTATCGACATTTCAATGTTTCGAAATGCCATTTTGTCGGCTTGCAAGTTTGTCGAAAATGATTTTGTCGATATTGTGCCTTGTCGAAATTTTATTCAGTGGCGATTCATCCATTTCAAACATGTAGAAAATTGCAATTTCTGCGGATTGATATTTCGACAAAATGCAATAGCGACCAGCAGTTTGACAAAATCATTTTTGAGCCACCCAGATGTCGAAAAATTCAGTTCGACACTCTAGTTTGCGATAAAATGAATTGTCGGCCAAGTGAAATTTCGACAAATAGTACTCGACATGATGAATGTAAACATTTTCATTTTCGACAAATTCAAAATATCTATTAATAAGGAGCGCTCCCGCTCGTCCTGGCACCTATTCTCCCGCTGCCCAATACGGAGCCGACGCCTATGCGCAGCCACAGCTCAAGCTGTGCGATGAACCGTGTCCTGCAGGTCCACCGGGTCCCTGCGGAGTTAAAGATAAGTTGTTACCTTCTGCTACTGTCCTTTTTTGGTTTTATGGTCTGCGAACACCGTTGTAAAGTAAGTATCGTACTTTTTGGTACTGGACTCTTAGTGGGGGGACCAAATTTTTACAGTGATCCCGTACGGCCCTATAGCCAAAAAACATTGCGCATTTTATAGCATTGCAGACGGTTCTGTTAGTAAAAAAGCAATTACAAATATTGAAATGTTTTGTGGCTTTCGTCGAAAATCTATGAAAAATAGCAAAAAACGGTAAAAATTTTCGGTTCTTAAGAAGTAAATACCTTTTATAACCGTCAGTCTAGGCAGAAACAAAAATTACCCCCCCCGCTAACAGTCCAGTACCTGCATTTTTCAAGCCCGCGCGGCCAGGTGGGACACAAGGGCATTCGCGGGGCGTTCGGCGAACATGGCAGACCCGGAAAATCGGGCAAACCGGGCCCGCAGGTCGGTTGTATTTAGCATACGTTTTAACCCCGTTTAGGGTGAATGTGGCCAGCGTGGCCAGACTGGATATCCGGGGCTCAAGGGGCCAGCAGGTGCCAATGGCGTCAAAGGAGGGCACGGATTGCCCGGCAGAAAGGGAATTTCCGGCTCGATTGGGGGTGTGTTTTTGGGCCTAGGGCTTGAATTTATTTTGTAAATAATTAAATGCACTATACCTTACGATCAGGGGCGTAGCCAGAAAAAAATTTCGGGGGGGGGCCCCAAAAAATGTTTCCAAAAAACTCAGAACATTGCCGAAAAAACAGCGCCGCAGGGAAAATTTTTGAAAAAAAGGTTCTATAACTCTACAAATAGCCGTAAAAACGTAAACAAATAGCGCCGCAGGCAGTAAAATTTTTGAGAAAATAAAAATCATAAGGGTCCCCCCTTATGAAATTTTCGGGCCCCGGCCGATTTCGGGGGCGGGCCCCGGGGCCTGTATTACGCTACGTCCCTGCTTACGATACGGTACGATACAATACCTGCATACCTTATAGTGGCTGGCCCACGCGGCCTTGGCGGTCAATCCGGGGACTATGGCCCTCCAGGGCTCCAGGGACCGTGCGGAAGACGCGGAACACAGGTTTCTTTACACAACAAATGCGTTATTTAATTATTTTTATTGGGTTTCTACAGGGTATCCCACAAAAACACCCTCGCTAACCCGGTGAAGAAGTTTTGGATCGGAACGATAGTTACACCATTCGAAAGCCCTTAAAACGGCCAGTTGCAGCAATTTTCAAACCTGGTCTAAATTTAAACCCGCTATTTTGCAAGCTATTTTGTAAAATTTTCCGATTTTCCGGGATTGCACGCGAGCTAATTTGTTTCAATTTCTCTAAGCAAAATGATCGAAAGTAGCCGTTAATTAGAGGCAGAGACCGTTGATTAATGTTTGGAAATGTGGTGAAAAATTGTTTAAATTAAACATGGTTTTAAAGGTTGTTACAAACTCGCCGTCTCAAGGGAATTCGTAAGGTGTAGCTAACGTTCCGATCCGATACTTCTGCATCGGGTTATAGGGAGTGTTTTATTTGAACACCCTGTACTCAATGTCTCTAAATGTATTCGATGCTAGTCAACAAATCGTTCATTTCGCAGGGACCACGCGGGATCGTGGGAAGTCCAGGCAGTGCGGGTGCCCCGGGAAGACCTGGCCGTGACGCTCTCTACTGTCCGTGCCCTCCTAAACAACACCTATCATCATCATACATTCCCCGTGACATCCAGCCACAACAACCCCAGTATCCCACCCCTCCACCACCATTGCCGCCCCAATATCAGGTATGTCGGTTCTTTCGCATTAGCGGGGGGGATTGTTACGCTAAAAAACTTTTGTTTTTCTTAACGGTCCAATTTCTCTTATAGGTCGTGTTTTTACACTGTTTTTGACTATGACTAACGCGTAATGCAACGCAGCGCATGACAATTTTTGTAAAAAAATACAGAAATATAGGTTTTTAACCAAAACTCCAGTTCCCGTGCAATATCGAGGGAGGGAGTCAACGAGGGTTCTTATTTATGGTCCAATTTTGCTAATAAAAATAGCGGAGCTTTTTTTCCACGGTTTGTACGATTATTAAAAACAAACAAACTTTGACAAAAATACAAAAAAAATCGCCAAATTACCAAAATTTTAGAATATTCTAGTTTTTGTCCCGTAAAACAATTTAAAATTTTGCTAAAAAGACTATTAAATCACTAAAAATTTTAATCTGTCACCATAATTTCTGAGCTTATACAAAAAAAATCGATAACTTCCTAACCCCGCCCCCCGGTAATGCGAAAGCAACAGTACCACGACTTGCACTAGAACTTGACCAACGACCTTTCCAGAACAACTACCCGCAGGGCATCCAATTCGACGCGTCGACTCCGGTAAACGAGGGATTTGTGGGCGATACAGAAGCCTCGTACACCGGCCAGCCGGATGATGATGACGTCGCGTCTACCGTATCCGCGGTACGTTGAAGAGAAATTGTAGAATACTGGTGTTTAGTCATATTACATCGAGCCCCGCTTCACGCCAGGACCTCAACCCCCGGCCGCGCCACCACAGGAGATTGTCGGTCGGTTTTTGGATTCGCTTGCGAACAGTTCTCCGCGTTTCGTTTTAAATGCTGGATTCGGGCCGAAATCCAGGAAAGGTTAAACTGCCACCAACTAAAACCTTAATCGAAATCCCAACGCTAAAATACCGACCAGAAAAGGCCGAGATCCAGAATCCCGACAGCAAAAATACCGACGCCACAAACCCGACCGTCAAAATCCCGACAATCAAAATCCCGACAGGCCAAAATCCCGACAGAAAAATCCCGATGACCAAAACACCGACAGACATAATCCCGACAGCAAAAATTTAAACAGCCATAATCCCGACAACCAAAACACCGACCGCCAAATTTCTGACATGCCAGCTGGCTGTTTACACCGATGTAGGCATTTTGGTTGTCGAGATTTTGGGTGTCAAGGTTTTGTCTGTCGGGATTCCAGCTGTCGGCATTTTGGCCAAAATTCCAACGTTCATTTTAGATTATTTGAACCGAAACTTTGCCGAAGTGAAACGCGCCGATCCGACGCCACGAAAGCGGGGCGGGTAAGCTTTCAACTCGTCCGAATGCGAAATTTTGGAAATGTTCTAAAAATTCAATGAATCTTGTAAGAAGAATTTCCTTTAGAAAAAGACTGGTTGACTGGCCGCGTCTCTTCGAGAAAGCGGGAAATCACATGATCCATACCGGGACGACACCGAACCGGCCGAATCCGCTGGTCGGCCGGCGATTGCCGCATAACCATCGATTTGTCAATGCCCAATAGGGCAATTTTGGTCTCGCGTCGATTTTCCGATTTTTTCGGCATTACATAAAGTTTTATTCTGGGCAGCCGGGGGGTAGAGGAAACAAGTGAACGAGCAGCCATCGATTAAAGGGGCTGGAAAGTCAAAATAAGCATGATGCCGGGATGCCGACATCATCGGATGTCGGCGTTTTCGCCAGGGGATTTTGGCTGTCGGGATTATGGCTGGAATTCCAACTTCGCATAACAAAAAAGCAACTATCAAGTACACTACCAAATAAGGTCCTATTTTAGTCTTTAAAACCGCTGATAAAAATAGATTTATTCCGTTTTATTTTGTACTTTAAAGGCGGAACGCAAAAAAATTCCAGCAGCGTACTACTTTACATGAACCCAATCTTTTCCATGTTCAACTTCAGCACGACGTCGATACAGGCGCCAAAGACGCGGTCCATATTCCGGGTGTCGGTCGCGTTCGTGAAGTGAGCGTAAATTCGACGCTCGCCGGTCACGTAGCGCTCGAATCGATCTTTGATGTACGTCGAGCTGGCCTCGAACGCCGGTGGACCTGAATTTTACGTCAGCTTTTACGCTCGCATACTCCGTCCAGCCGCCCTTACCAACCTTTATAGTCCTTGAAGCAGACGTTAATTGGTGTCTGCTGTATCTTCTCGCGAAAGACGTCAATTTTGTTGAGGAACAGAATCATGGCCGTCTTTTTGCCGAATACCTGGTTGTTGACGACACGTTTGAAGAGATGCAGGCTGTACTTTAGCCGGTTCTAAAAACGGTGGATTTGAATTGAAGGCGGTTCCCCGACCACTAGTATCTCGCCATCGTCCAGTTTCTGGTTGTATCCGGATATTTCGGCTACGAATAGCACGCCGGAGACGTTGTCGAAGCAGTGGATCCATTTTCGTTGTTCAGATCTTTGCCCGCCGACGTCGACCATTCTAAGAGGGGATCGTTTGAATTTGCGATGTGACGCAGCCCGGGACGTAGCGTAAGGGAAAACGCCAAAATCCCGACAGCCAAAATCTCAAATTTCAAAATCCCGACAGCCAAAATCCCGAAAATCAAAATCCCGACCGCCAGAATCCCCAATTTTCAAACGATTATGGGTAAAACGACTGGAAATATCACATATTAGATGCCGAAATTTTGGCTGTCGGAATTATGGCTGGAATTTTTATGAAATAAATAAATAATCCATACCTCAAAACAACGTCCTTATAGGGAAATTCGATTTCATTGATTCCAGTGGTAGGGATTCGAGACCTGAAATGCTTTGCCTATTTTATGCCTCGGATGCTACCGTATGACGTCCATCTGACTGGGCATATAGTCTGGCTCACAGATCCGGAAGATCTTGTCGAGAAAACTGAAATTTGGATCAAAACCCTCGTCAAATGGGTCACTATGTGGCCGAGTCGAGCAACTCGATCTCGCTCCGTCGGCTGATGACGTCGCGGATGCACGGTGAGCGGTAGATGCTAAATGATGTTGATTCAGGCTTGATAAATTTATACTAAAGCTAGTTTTAAAAATCCCGACAGTCAAAATCCCGACAGTCAAAATCCGGACAGGCCAAAATCCCGACAATCAAAATTCCGACAATCAAAATACCGGCAGGCCAAAAGCTTAAGCCTTAAACTATACCGATAGCTATAATTATAACTCAAGAATAGCTTAAAATTAGCTAAAAATACCGATGAATGGCCATCGCCATCTCCATGTCCACCTCAATTTCAGAGCTTGGAATATGATTGTATTGGTCTTCGAAGTAGACGATGTCACGCTGGAAATTGTGTTTTTTACCTCAGATTTACTGGTTTAATTCAAAAAGCTAGACTTGAATGCATAATAAAACAAAAATTATAGTTAACTTGTATAAAATGATAAACAGAATAAAAGCCATTAAAAGCTCATAAAAATAAAGCTTTACCCACAATGACATTGTCTTCAAAGTGCAAATCCAACTTCCGAGCACCCGCAAGGAGTTGCTGAGTTGCCTATAAACACTCGCTTTTGCAGGCGAAACGACTTGGGTTTTTCTCTCTTTCTCTCTGTCTCTCGCTTTCTCTCTCTCTTTCTCTCGCTGTCTCTTTTTCTGATTATCTCTCTCGGTCTCTCTCTCTCTCTCTCCTCTCTCCTCCGCTCTCTCCCTCCCCTTCTCTGCTCTCTCTCTCTATCTATCTCTCTCTCTCGCTCTCTCTCACTCTCTCTCTCTCACTAGCCTTCTATCTCCTCATTTCAACTCTCTGACCTCCACCACATTACTGTAGACGAGATAGCGGAAATTGACGTAGTCCAACTCGGAGAAGCCATTCAGATGCAGAATTCTACAAAGAAAACGCAGTTATAGCATTAGAATGCTCCTGTGCACCTCATCTGCTTGAAAATCGTACTCTTCCCACTCGCCGGCCCGCCGAGCAGCAAAATCTTTAGCGTTTTCTTCTCGGCTTCCCTAAAATATTGACAATGATTGTACTAAATCATATTTAATACAATTTATAGTGTATTTGTATCATAAATGCAGCCAAAATATATGTGAATTTTTAAACTCACTGATCTTTCAGAAGTTGCCTCTCAATTTCGGCATTCCTGCGGACGAGCTCGCGTAGATTATTGTAGTCTAAATGTTGGGTCTTTGGTCGAGCCTAGGTTAAGCTTAAGCTTAGATTAGACTTAGCTTAGGCTTAGGCTCAGTTTTAGGCTTGGACTTAGGAGTGGTCCTTGACCACTTTACTTGGGTCCAGGTTGGACTTAGGCTTAGGCTTACCAATCTCGCCGGGAAGCCGCGGCAGTGCCAACTGCTGACTCACATTCGTGTTCACCTGGACCTATGAGGTAATTTTGTTAAGGTTGAAGGGGAAGCTAGGTGTTGGATGGGCAGCCGCGACGCAAACGTGACGCAAATCGTTCGCCAAAAACGCGAACGAGCTTTACGATTTCGTGCCTCTCAATTTTTCGCCATGAATCTTGGAATCGTTTGAAAACGCCTTGTTCCGAAATTATTTTTACAGGGTTCAGAAAATTAATCGGATTTAGCGGCGAAAAGTACCGAGAAGAGTGATTGCCGCGTGCAGAGGAGGAAGGAAAAGTCGAGCTTCGAATTTTGGGAAGCGCCCGGTTGGTCGGATGTCACAACTTCTGAAAGGGAGTACGATTTCCGAAGCTCAGAGTCGGCACGGAATCATCCGCGTTGCGTATCACGACGCAAAAGCATATACGTACGCGTGCTATTCCGTTAACTTACGCTGCGTAGCGGTAGCCCCGGAAGTGGAGGGCTGGGTGGGGGCGATGTGGTGAACCTCATACGGTTCCATCGCAGTATTACGTCGCTTCCAGAGAGACATCTGGAAAAAAATGGTTGATGCGAGAGAAAGAGAGTGTGAGAAAGAGAGAGCGATAGAAAGAGCGATGGAGAGAGCGATAGAAAGAGCGTGCGAGAGAGAGTGAGGCTGAGAGTGAGAGAGATAGAGAGGGAGTGAGCGGGAGAGAGTGAAGGACGAGAGAGAAAGAGAGATAGGGGGAGAGAGTGAGTGAGTGAGAGCGAGAGAGAGAGACAGAGAGAGAGAGTGAGAGAGAGATGAAAAAATGGAGCGTGAGAGAGAAAGGTGAGCGAGAGAGAGCGGGAAAGAGAGAGAGAGTGAAGGACGAGAGAGAAAGAGAGTGAGAGAGATAGAGAGATATGAAAAAAGATAGTGAGAGAGAGAGAGAGAGAGAGCTGCTGCTCTAGCCCCCAATATGATCTTCAAGGGTTGTACATCGAAAATCAAATGGGGTTTGTGAGGAAAGGGATAGAGAAAGGGACAAAGTCGGCGCAGGTGATTATATTCTTCGAGGCTGTCTGGCCACTCTCGAAATCTCCTCCTATTGCCCCATTGCCGGCAGCGAATACAGTGCTGGCCACAAGGTGGTCATTAGGGCGCGAAGCGGAACGCGGGGTGAGTAAGATTAAACGAAAAATCCTTGGCTTGACAGGTTCCTGCTACTGGTTTCCGACTACGTGGCTTTACGCCGAGTTCGGCCTCTCGTTCAATCGTAACGTTTGTTTTGGGGACTACGGTAACGGTAAGTGGAATGGGGGCACAAACAGCGGTGTTTAACCGCGTTTTGAATTGACGTTACATCCTCTAATTCCTTTTAATAATTCAATAACGAAGTAAAATCCATTTTTGCAGCATTTACATAGTTTAGATATAAAAATATACTATCAGAATTATTTTCGACATTTTCTAACTTTTTGGCAAAAATTTTACGAAAAATGACCAAAAATTGTCAAAAAAATTTTGTTACAAATTTCATAACCTTCTTCTTTCGATCTTTTTTTTTCAAATGAATTTGACAAACTTAGCGATCAAAAACTACCAAAATTTCTAAAAAATATTTGTTATTATTTTATCAAAAAAAAATTACTTTAAAAACTAAAAATTTAATTTTATGCGTTGGTTATTAACAACTAGCTGTAAAAATAAAGTAATAGTTTTTTCCACAAAAAATCCCCCCCCCGCTAACAATCCAGTACCAAATTGGCACCAAAAAAAACGGTGGAAACGAAGCAAAAAAAATCCGGCTACATGGCGCCGTACACTTCCACGCAACCCCACCCATAATTTGTCGCCAAACACGAAAAAATTCAAAAGTGCTGCCCTTATATACCAGATTTTTCAAAATTTTAGAAATGCGAAGATCCCTTATTCTTTTTTGCGTAATTGCCCAGGCAAACCCTAAATTGCACTTGCGGCAGTTCCGGAAAGTGCCCGACACCTCTCCTGTGAATACCGTAAAAAGTGCGCTCCCGGAAAACAGGGGCCCTTCTGTAATTTCTGATGAAAACAAGCGTCTCAATTTCAATTCATCGACTTCGGATGGCCCCCGGGGAACTGTGGCACTTTCGCAAGATGAGCACCACTAGGTTTTTGCTAGGGATTTGTGGTCATCCAATTCGTAGATTGTTATTAATGAAAGCAGTTAGCCAATAACATAGACAAACATCTCACATTTTTCCAGGA